GAGGAGATCCACATGGTGTGGCAGACCTCTCCTGACCCACCCGCTGCTCCCCTCAGCAGTGTACTTCATTGATCGGCCTGTTCTGCTCCCGCTCTCTCTGGTGAATCCTCTCACCCTCTGCATCTCTGGCCTGTACCCCAGTTCTGTATGAATAAGTAAATCTTTAAAAAATAATAATAAAAAAAATCATTTTTTTTTGAAAAGTCACCAATATTTACCATTATATGAACTAGTTAAGAACACGGGATTCAATCAGAGATGTTGATGGGAGTTCCAAGGTGTGCCTCTAACTAACACTTGATCTTGGCTAATTCTCTGAATCCTTGGGGTTCAGTTTCACACTTTAAAAAATAAAGGAAATTAAACTACAAATTAGCTCAGAATTCTTTTAGCACACCATTAAAACTATTGTTTGTGGTGATAATATCTGCATTAAACATATGGTTTTATTTCCTTCACTTCCCATTCTGGGTCTTCATTTTCTATTGCTACAATAGAAAACTCAATTAACTGACATACAGATTAAATAGTCCAACCTGGTGGTACAGGGAATTAACTTGTCAAATTTAGTCAAATATCTAATACTAGAGACAGGTTTCTATCACCAGACACCTGATACCCATTCCAAGCCCAACTGGGGAATGTACATGAGATACTTTCACCTGCTCTCTCTCCAATTTATTATTTTACCTTTAGTGCAGTTACATAAATATTTATAGTTACATAGTTTATATACACATATCCATTCATATATTCAGTATATATTTATTAAATTCCTTCTCTGTACTAGGCATTCTCCTAGGAGTTGGAGATTCAGTGGTGAAGGCAACAGATAAAAATGCCTGCTATTCCAGAGTTTATACTCTATTGGGAAGAGACAAACTGTAAACAAAATAAATAAAATATGAACTATCAGTTGATTGGAAATGCTAAAGGGAAAACTGAAACAGAAAATAGAAAAGGAATGCTAAGAATGAAATTTCAGATAAGATGACCACCAGAGAATGTCTAAATATGGGTCGTTTGAATAAATATGTGAAGTCGTCATGAGAGAGAACCATGGGATTCTTAGTAAAGTATCCCTTGTAGGAAAAACGGCCTGGACCTTGTTCTTGGTGGTCCAAGAACAAGGTGGTGAGCATGACTATAGCATGTAACGGAGTTGGGGGAGAAAAAAAAAGGGGGGACAAGGAGGGAACATCCTAGAAGATGAGGTCAATGAATCAACAAGTCAATGGAGGACCTGATCTTACTGGGTCATGTAGTCCATAGTACAGTTCATGGATTTTTCTGAATGAGATCCCAAGCCACTGAGATTCAAAGGGAAATGACAACATCTCTCTCAAATTTTAAGACAGCATTATGCATTATATAATACCAACGTGTGTGACTGAAAGTATTTGAAAGAAGAGACCTGATTTCAGAGATGTTTAAATGCAAAATTGTATGCTTTAGTATCAGTTATTTTGCATCCAGTGGTTGTTTGAATTACTACTTTTTTTATTATAATTTTTTTTTTTTT